TGCGTACTAGCTATCCCTTTCGCACATTGCTCCGTCCTTGTCGTACGGCGTTCTAGAGTGCTCGGTCTAGCTTCGAGAAGGTTCCGATCTTCCCTCTCTCTCGCGTATCATTCCGTCCTTGTCCCACACCTAGAAAATTCGTTCTAGAACATTCCTTCATCAAAGGGGTATAACCAGGCCTGAAAACGCCTGAAAACGGGTTTCCTGAAAAGTGTACCATTCGACTACACGTGTTCTGAAACGGCCTGAAAAAATGTTTCAGGCTCCTGAAAACTAGGGTAACATTATGTAAATTGCGATTTTCTAATATGTGATTGACCCTCCCCTGAAACGGTCAGAAATCACATTTCAGCCTGCTGAAAAGTTCTCTAAGTAGTGGAAAAATCTAGAAACATTGTAGTCGACCCGTCTTCGTAACACTACCCCCTCCTTAGACATGCTCGTCCCGAGCATCATCACTTTCATTCACCGTTATCCTTTCCCATGGAGACCGAGTCTGCGAATCCTTAATAGCTGCACAATCTTTACATTTCTTGATCCAGTCTTCAACATCTTCACGATAGTGTATCCAATAAAATATTTCTTTAATCTTCATAAGAGTCCTCTTTACTCCTAAATGTCCACTAGACAAGTCAGTATGAAACATTTCCAATATGTCGCGAACCTTGGATCTTGGCACAACTATCTGCAAATGATCGCCTTGAGCATTTTTCAATTTGCGACATAACACTCCATTATGTAGAACTAAACTATCCCATTGAGCCCAGTAACTCTTAGTAGTGGTACTTGTAGATGCGACTTTACTCCACTGCGGCTTGACAGCTGATGATTTCATCCAATCCAGAATTGGTTTAATGTCACAATCTTCTTGCTGTGCTATCTGCATCAATTTTCCACCCCAATCTGAACGAATGGTGTCTGTTCTAAGAATTCGCACATGGCCAATCTCCCTTCCGTCCTGTTTGTTGACCTTTTCACAGTGTTGTTGAGACACATCTGAACTTCTTCTTAGTTCTCTTTCGTGGGTAGATATCATGTCAGAAAGTTTATTTAATTGTTCCTCTGCCTTTGATAGTTGTCTTGACAAGGCTTCCTCATAGGTCTCAGTAACTTTCCACTCTTGTTGATTACTGGCCTGTCCGTCCACATTGATAACTCTACAGACGTCAAAACCACTATTTGTAGAGTGTCCTTTTAAGCAAACTTCCTGTTCTCCACACTTAAAGATTCCTTTTTCCAGATCTATTTTACAATTGTACAGCTTCATAAAGTCTAACCCGATTATGCAGTCATCTACTATGTCGGCAAGAACAACCTTGTGTCTGTAAAATCTTCCACCAATCTTGAAGGTTGCGATACCTTCTCCCCGATCGGTTATACGCTGACCTGTAGCTGTAACAAGCTGTACAATTCCTCGAGAAGGGCTTCCATAAAATGACTTCAGAAGTTGGTATCTGATTACGGTTCGTGAAGCTCCGGTATCCAGTGTTAGGTCACACTTAGTTCCATTGACAACTCCGTCGATAACCAAGGTATTCCCGCGTCTAACCTTCACATCACCTCGGAAGTCTTTCTTTGGGCACGAAAACCTCATGTGCCCCACTTCCCCGCAGAGGTAACAGGTTGGTCCACGTTGACACGAGTTTGGTTTTTCCGTGACAGCCCTAATGCGGTAAGGTCGAGAATCTTTCCGAATCGCCTCTACCTCCAGCGCATGGGCAAGAGCATCCTTCAGGTTCTTGTGGTGACCAAGATTCACACTAATCCTGACTTCACGATCTCTTATTCCGTCAATGAAGGTTTGCACTAATATCTTGTCTGCTACATCTGGTAAGGATGCGTAGGCTTTTCTTACCAGCTTCTCTATTTCCAGACCCCATTCTTGCAAGCTCTCACTCGGTCGCTGCGCTCTCTCCCGTAATTGAGCCCTATAGACTGGCTCCAAATTTGAGTCCCCATAACGTGACTCCAGAGCATCCAGCAGGCGCGTCAGTGTCACTTTACCTGTCATGACTTCTAACACGTCCAGGGCTTCGCCTCGCAGTCCCAACATAAGGGCGGTGACAGCCTGATCGTCATTCCACCCGTTTGACTCTGCCACAGTCTCAAACTGTATTTTGTACGCGCCCCAGGAAGATGTACCGTCAAAGGGAGGTACTTTCAGATTTCCAGATGGTGCTACAGTCGTTACGACACCTTTGGTCTTCAGGCACTGCATCTCTTGTTCTAATCCGAGAATACGTTTGTCCTGTTTCGAAAATTTGCAGTCCATATCAGATTCCAAGTTCTCGATCTTTTTCTCTACCTGTATTTTCAGGTCACCAAGTTTTTCTCCGATACGGCGGGCCTGTTCCTCCATCATCTGATGAGCCTGCTCCTCTTGACGCCGTGCCTGTTCCTCCATCATACGACGTGTCTGAGCCTGTTCTTCCATCATTAGGCGTGCCTGTTCTTCTTGACGGCGTGCCTGTTCTTCTTGCCGGCGTGCCTGTTCCTCCATCATTTGTCGTGCCTGTTCCTCTTGACGTCGTGCCTGTTCTTCCATCATTTGGCGCAGAGCAAGAAGCATGTTGGCATCGTTGCTTTCACCCATCCCGCGGTTCGCATCGAAACTTTGTCGTCGGGCAGCGTCGCGTGCTGATTGCGCCCTTGTCTGGACTCCCTCCGCAGCTGAAGACTCAGCTACAAACTCCTCTTGATTCTCCCTTGGAGTAATTGGCATTTTTCTATCCCACTTCTGACACCAAAATGTTACGAGCTAGGGGATCGGATAGAAACGCCGTAAATCTCTTCAAGGGTTTATTTTCAATTAAATCTACGAGGAATTTGTTAACACTAAAAACTGGAAATTACGCACAAAAATTCACTAAATAAACACACAAAATACTGTCACTAATTACTCTAATAACACGCACTTCACACAGTACTTGTATTCACTTTTCTTCACTATATTCGCACTTTGTCACTCCGGTGTTTATCGCTTGGTATCGCATTCAAAACTGAACTAACTGGTCGCGTTTCGGCTCGCTTATATATCCCTGGGAGCGATGTTCGAGAACTCTCTAGGCGGCAGCGCAACTGAGTAGCGATCGCACAATTCTAGAACGTGCGTACTAGCTATCCCTTTCGCACATTGCTCCGTCCTTGTCGTACGGCGTTCTAGAGTGCTCGGTCTAGCTTCGAGAAGGTTCCGATCTTCCCTCTCTCTCGCGTATCATTCCGTCCTTGTCCCACACCTAGAAAATTCGTTCTAGAACATTCCTTCATCAAAGGGGTATAACCAGGCCTGAAAACGCCTGAAAACGGGTTTCCTGAAAAGTGTACCATTCGACTACACGTGTTCTGAAACGGCCTGAAAAAATGTTTCAGGCTCCTGAAAACTAGGGTAACATTATGTAAATTGCGATTTTCTAATATGTGATTGACCCTCCCCTGAAACGGTCAGAAATCACATTTCAGCCTGCTGAAAAGTTCTCTAAGTAGTGGAAAAATCTAGAAACATTGTAGTCGACCCGTCTTCGTAACAATATGTATATGTACGAACGAGATACGCGTCGCCATCAGCTATCCCAATTTTAGTCTAGTAGGCTCATTCTAATGCATCTTTAATGCCCTTTTGAATTGATTAAAGACGCTAATTTTTTTAGAGGGTAATTGATTAAAAAAATAATTGAATAAAGTCGATAATAAAACAAAAACATTCTCAACATTTTATTTCCCTTTATTTACAATTTATCTACATAAACCTGTATAAGCAGTGAATCCACTCGATTTAAACTCACAAACCATATTTGAGTGGAATTTTGGGCATAACAAATTAACAATTACATTGTAATAACGATGCAAGAAAAAGCTGTTCAGAGCTTTCAAAACTTAATATGTGCTCTGCAGTGTCACCGTCGTAGCTTACAGCCGTCGTCAATGGACTTTTAAGCACAAATTATATTTCAATTCAAACATTCAAGAAATTATTTAAAAGTAAGATATCAACCAAAAATATGAGACATAAAAAAATACGCTCCTATTGAAAGTAGATATATCAGTGATAATATAGAATAAAAAAAAGTGGTTCAGCCGTTTAGAGGTTATTGATTACAAACAAAAACAATCTTTATTTTAGATTATGTACAGAAAGCATCAAATTCGTGTTAAGTTAAAAAACCAGCTTCAATTGATGATACCATAGATTCTAACGCAACGCATTTATCAGAATATTACAATTTTTTTGTAATTTAAATATAAGTCATCATTTTTCATTTAATAATTGCAAAATTGCGATAAATCCGTGTTTTTCGGGTTTATTTAGCTAGCTATCTATCTAATAATTTATGTCAAAATTTACTTTTAAATATTACACTAATTAAATGTTCCTGTTCATGTGATATCATTGATCGATAAGCAAGCAGCTTTTTTATATCCCAGAATCAAACCCGGGACCTTCGGCGATCAAGTATAGTCAATCGAGTTCATATACAGTACAATAATATTAGGCCCCTTATTTAAATACTATAGACATCAAATAGCTATTGAAGGATTATATTGTGTGACCTCAAATAACTTAAGTTTTATAAAAACTAATTAAAATCTACGCTGGATAATTTTTGAGTTGAATTTTGAGAAAAAAACAAATAAATACATTCGTCCCAGAACCAAAACGTTCAAAAAGCCGTAACTCAACAAGTCAATTTAACTATTAAAATTCTACAAATTCCGAAATTTCCAGAATCTTCGCGAAATGTCCAGAAGCGTTAAACAATTACAATCTTCGCGGAAATTCTTGAGTATTTCGAAATTAATCTAAAAGCTTTTGAATATCCCAAAACGCTTATGGTTTTAGAATGTTCGCGGAACATTACGTATATTTCCGGAATCGCCATGATTCCAGATACACCAAAGATTTAAACATCAAAATCCAGAAAATCATTGACTTCCGCGATCATTCTAAAACCTCTTCGTGGAACATTCAAGTGTGGAAAATTCCAGAGTTTCCGTGGCTTGATTTAGTCCAGCTCTATCCTCATAGATGGCGCCAGCGACCCGCACTGGATCTTGGACTCCTTCAACTTGGCCAAGGAATGTCGTAAGTCCTCCATCGTGATGGGACGCATCGCGTCTGTGTATTCGTCATCTGACTCCGTACTGTTTCTGCTGTCTTGAGACTGAAATGTTCATTGAATTTTAACCAAAAAAACCAAAACTTTAGGCTTGGCCTGATTTCTGTTTCGTATTTTTTTCTTCTTAATAGACTTTGAATAGAGATTGATAAAAAAAATCACTATTTTAAATTATTTATTTATAAAAATAACTACAGTCAAACTTGGGTATGTGAGAACTGGATAAGTGAGAAAACTCTATAAGTGAGAGTGAGACTATAGTGCATTGGCTTTGCTCAGACTTACCTTACGAAAAACTTTGCTTAGTGTACACTAAGGTTAAACTATGATTTCGTATTTATAGACATTTTAACGGTGAGATTAAGCTAAGCCCAAGCTAAGACAGAAAATGTCAAAATACAAATTGATGTTTCATTTCATGCAATACTTTGTTTATTATCCTTTAAAAAAGTTAACAATAACAAATATTTAAAAATCTAAAACGGTACACATATATCTTCAATTTATTGTTATTTATGTATTCATTTATTTTATTATTGCAAAACTAGAAATTCACGAGTAACCTTTAGAAAATGTATTAATTATTTAAAGATGACAATAATTTTATTACGTAGAACGGATCGCAATGTTTTGGTTAGGTTATAGTTTGAATTTCGTTGTCACTATAATATGCCAATTGCAGGGCTGCAGGTGACATACAAAATCACACCAGTTATTTTTAAGATTTCTCAAAAATGGGGTTTGAACAATTACATAAATAATATAAATAAACAACAATAAATACCATAATAATGTGTAATTATTTTATTTCATGCATTTCATAGGTATTTATCAAGATCATTTATAATTTCTTTGAATTCAAATTTATTTTTCCCAAAGTCTATGGAACTCCGATAAAAATGGCAACACGTTCATTAAAAACCGACAAAAATAAAAAGTCCAGTAAAAGATATGATGGTAAAGCAAATTTTGGGCCATTATTTTTGTTAGGCTTATAGTCAAAGTTTTTGGTAAGTGTCGATTTGTGGATTGAGATTAAGCTAAGCCAACACTAGGGAGAATTGAGTTTGCTCTATAAATACCGACTGTGTTTAGCTCGATAGTTAAGTCAGAGCAAAGTCTAAGTGGACTATAGATCTACCCTGAGAGTAATAGCCGGGACCCGTCATTTTAAACCTCTATTATCGAGAATCAGAAACCTCTGTAAAAGAGTCGTATTTCCCTCATGGACCTCCGTAAGTGAGACTGCTACTTATCTTTACCTCTATAAGCGACAGTCGAGCTTATTTATTTATATTATTTAGGAGGAACTTTACAATAAAAATACATACATACGTCTCCCTTGATGTTCGACTTAACGAGGTTCTACTGTATTCGACAAAATTTATGAGTCAGAGAAAAACATTTAAATTACAAAAAACAGAACCCAAACGAAGTTGAAGGATTTTTTCAAGTATAAATAAGTACTAAATAAAAATATAATATAGACTGTGACTTTGTGACTTGTTATTGCTGCGTACCTCTCTCTATAAGAGAGAAACGCTACCCATGTACCTGCATTAGCGAGAAACTCGGATTAGTGAGAAACCTCTTTAAGCTAGAATGAGATTGTGCTCCCTTGAACTCTCGTTTATCCAAGTTTGACTGTACTTATAACGTTCTAATAAATGAAAAATAAAACAATTTATTTATTCAAAAATTATCAATTACTTTTTGGATATGATTTTTTCGTAATTTTTATAGACAACGTTTACGTAGCCGTATATCATGGAATCGGCAGAATCATGGAGTTACAATTGCCGCACGTTGCACGGTGTCTGCATTTATTATCTCGTGAAATCTATATTTAATCTAGTCTTCGCATTAAAATTCCAAACATCAGATTGTTTAGCCTTAATATTAATTGTGATTTTTATTTTATTTAAATTAGTTTTTGTTTTTTTTAACCTTCGGCTGTTGCCTTCGTAATTCGTTAATTGCCAGATGAAACAAATAAACAAAATTATTCCACAGGGACAGAAGTATAAAAACAAATTAGACAGTATAAGGAAAAGTATTGTCTATGGTGGCAACACTGTGCATTACGTTCATTCTTTTAGTGAAATTTTCTTTTACTTTTTATGTTGTTGTTTTAATTGAGCTCCCATGCGCCCACTCTTATGACACTCTGTACAAACACTAAGGCTTTTGCACGGCTTAACCGATTTTGAAAATTCTTTTTTTAAATTAAAGATGGAAAAATTTCCCGTGCTATAGGCTATAAAAACTCAATAATATTTACGAATAAATCACAAAATAAGCGGAAAAACAACTTCGAAGGAGACCTAAAACTAAAAAGTGCTTTCAACAAAATCAAATCTTTAAATTAAATGTTTTGAACCTATCTATTTTTACTCATCATTAAAAATTGAGTTGAACACTCGCTCCGCTCAAGTTTGTGCTAAAGCGAAGCAGAATTGCGAGCACTGCGGCTTCCTAGTAATAATAGTTTGAAAAATATTTTTTAAAAATGTGTCTTTACAAAGCAACATCAAGAAATAGAAAACCAAACAATACAAGGGCAAATACCTCCTTCTCCCTGGCCATCTCCTCTCGGGCGTAATCCCTGACACGGTAGACAGCCGCCTGACGACACACTTCGTGGAGATCAGACCCCGAGAAGCCTTCGGAGCTGGCTGCTAACTTCTTGTACTCGATCTGAAATTTTAATAAAACGTGATTCATAGAGACGTGAATTAAATAAAGTCAGTCAACATTTAATTGCCAAGCGTTTATGTGTTTGACTGACCTTTATAGAATATAAATTTAAAAAAAACTGTCAGCATGTAATTATATATAAGTCCCAAAGCAAGGTTTAAAATCAGCAGAATTTTCCAAATTACGTCTGCTAAAACAATCTAGAAGTTCAGGCACCTCTCTTTCGAATTCTTCGCGATTATAACGGATTAAACAGTTCTTATTCAGAGCTGGATATATTCGGTAGAGTATGTACTGATTAATGTTAAAGAAAGCATTGTTACGTGCCTATCTCAAACCGCTCCTATCTCACTCTCTCTACCGCTATCTTAATCCGCTTTGCTGGTAATTTTTTATTATTATTTATTTCTGCTTGACAAAATCTGGAAATAATTATGGTAATCACATATGTCTGTTACGAACCTTTCTTAAGCTTTAAGACCGCAACCTTTAAGACTAATGCAGAATAAATTCAATAAAAATTGTTTCAACATAAGATTTTGTTTCCAAGAATTTAGTTGACTGTTAATAAAATCCGGTACATATGTTTTTACCGAAAATTTTATCAAAATCGGTTTAAATTTTATCTTTTTTAATGACCTGTTCATTTTAAAGTCGTTTGAATTTTAAAATTTATTTTATGTTTGATTTAAAACAATGTAGATTAATTTAATTTTATATAATTTATAATCCAAAATCCTATTTCAAATAACTAAACTGGAAATGGGCGGACCACACGGCTCGCATGAACAATGGCAGTTAGACAAATAGGGTAACGGGCTGGAAAGGGCCACCAGGGAAAAGAAAGAGAGGTTGCCCGCTTGCACGATGGGCTCACGAGCTTAGCGAAGTTGTTGGAGAAAATTGGTAGTAAATGGCCAAGATAGAGAGAGATGGAGCCAGTTGGAGGAGGCTTATACTCTATAAGAGGTCCTCGGAAATAAAAATTTTTGAAGTGAAAACTTCTTCAGCGGCGTTGTACACTTTTTTTGGAATGGGTAAAAAATGTTAAACTCGCGTCAGGACACGTGACCTGATCGAAAATTCGTAAGACGGATGGAGAGTAGACAGCTGGCGCGGCGTATTTAATGTAATATAAATTGTCATGTTTGTGTACGATAGCGCAATAAATAAATATTGTATTCTACCACATAAATTATATTACTTTTATACTGATAATTAAAGTAATTCGTGCAAAACTATTCACTAACCATTCCAAAATATCAAAAATGCACAACGTTAATATTCATGTTTTCACTTCTGCCGGCACTCCCGGAGTGCAACCCGTCGTTTTTTTTTGTATTAAATTTTAAATGGGTTTTTTTGTAAAGAGGGATGAATGTTTCAAGGAATAAATTAAGCTTATCTAATAATATTTGGACAAATTTAATATGAATTAAGAAGTTTCATCAAAATCTGTTTTGATTTCGAAATATTTCAGTGAAAAGTACTTTATTTATTTTTAACCTGAATATACTTACATCAGGGGCAACGGGTTCCTTGTGAAGTATCAGCTGCAGGATCCTCTCCCTTTGGAACTCGTTGGGCATGGGCACGTGGAAAGTGGCAGGCATACGCCGCTGGATCGCCTTGTCCAGGTCTTGAGGTCGGTTTGTTGCTCCTACATTTTTAGTTTTGTTTATTCGTACAATTGTAAACCAAAGATATGTATTTGTGGATCATCAAACACAGAGACCGATCCGAGGTGATCATGGTGTCAAACGGGTTCCTAAAATTAGCCTTTAAGAAACCCATATATGTATAAATAAATTAACTATTGTTGACTTCATTTAATTCCTTTGGTGACAATCAAAGAGGCCGTTTATAAAATACGTCACACTAAAATCAGCGTTTTGTGACCCCCTCCACCCCTATTGTCACGCTGTGTCACACTTTCTGTGACCCCCCTAGAAATATTTCGTCACAAAAACTAAGGACAACCCCTGATGAGTATGATAAATTCTAAATGATAGTACACAAATGCTGAAAATTAAAAATATTTATTTAGTTATAATCAAATTTAAATAAATTAATAAATATTTTTATTATTCAGAAATCCAAGGATTTTCAAATAATGATAAACGGCGAACGTCACGTCCTAAACCCCCGGCCCCCTTGTCACACTCACACTCAGCCCCTCCCCGCCCCTTATATGCGAACGTATTTTATGAACGGCCCCAAATAAGAAATATTGCTATTTTGTATTTAAAGCCGGTTATATTTTTTCAAGAAATTTATTTAAGCATAAATTTATGTAATCTATGAGCAAATATCCCGTAGAATTTGCATAAATTATCTTATTTGAAATACTCCAGTTTTGTTTTTTTTTAATTCTAGGTTCTCTAGACTGAGACTCGGCTTTGCAGGATTTAACTTTTTTGTAATATATTTAGTATTTTTTTAATTATATTTTACGAAATTTTATTCCTACCTACAAACCAATATTAGCAATAAATATTAATTAAAAAAAATGAAGTTTATGTTAAAATAAAAGTTAAGGGAAATTATTTTTGATTAGGTTCAGTATTTTATAAATTAAAATATATCTTTATAATATTGTTATTATTATTGTAGATAGATATAGAGATAGAAAGATGTAATTATTTCAAAAAGTACTAATCCCCAAGTAATTATCGTGAATGTATACAGTAGAACCTCTATAAGTCGAACATCAAGGGAGACGCCAAAAAATTCGAGTTATAGAGTTTTCAACTTATGGAGGATTTCGACTTTGGCGGATTTTGATTCAACATAAAGAGTTTATTATTGTATACTCCTAAAATGTTTTCTAAGAAACAATAGTGTACTCACATTGGCGGCAAGTTCTTAAAGTCGGTAACTTATTTTTGTTCGAACAATAGAGATAATAAATTCCAAATGATCAAGTTGTAAAGGTTGTAAAATAAAATGTTCCTATGTTCGAGATACAGAGGTCAAATTTAATTTTTCGAGTTATAGAGTGAAAATATGTACCAAAATGGCTTGTAGGGACTCGGTGATTATTTCGATTAACAGAGGGTCAAGATTTCAAGTAATGGAGGTTTTGGTGTTTTAAGGTAAGGGAACAAAACATTTTTTCGAGATTTGGAGGTTTTTGACTTATCGAGGTTCGACTTAACGAGGTTCTACTGTATTTTGTATTGTTATATTTGTAAGCAATAATTAAATAAATAAATAGCAATCACGTAATTACATAACACTGTATTTGTTTATTTTTTTTTTTTTAAGTTACGACTTACCCATAATAATAACGGTACAAGAGGGGTCAGTGATAAGTCCATCCCATAGAGACATGAACTGGGTCTTCATCATGGCCGTTGCTTCGTGATCGTGAGAGTTGCGTGTGCGCAGGAAAGATTCGATTTCATCTGAAATATTAGATTATCCAGAAATATTGTTTGTTTCTTCATTATCTTCAGTTGGTTTGGAGTTGACTAAAGTCAAAGTCAACGGGATTGAATTCAATGTTGTTTAATTATGAGGATATTGTAAAAAGCTTAAAAAGGGATTGATAATTTAAATAATAGACTTTTATTTTCGTCTTCGTTTAATAATTAATATAGTTTAATTAATATAGTGTGTAAGTACAAAAAAAAAAACTTTATTTTCAAAGCAACGCAATTGCTTATTTGAATTTTCAAAAATTTATATATCTTGCAAAAACTGTTTGAACCTAAAAGTTTAATGTATTTTATTCATTTGTATTATTATATGATTTTTATTACTTATGACATTTAAAAACATCTTCTGTTACTAAACTACAAAATAATTGGAATTACATTGATATACAAACACAGATCTTAAAACTGACATAGACATACCTATAAACACAATACACGGCTGAAGCTTAACAGCAAGACTGAAGACGGCAGCAGCTAGCTTTTGTGTCTCTCCGTACCATTTGTCAGTTAACATTGACACATCGAGGTTAATAAAACTCATGTTTGCTTCCTTTGCTGTCGCTTTTGCTATTAAAGTCTTTCCACAACCTGAAATATATTTATTTTATGATTAGATGCCACGCATGTTAGGGCTACCTTTGTGGCTATAATGATTGTTTCCAATTTTTTTTTTTTTATAGAATGGGGTCAAACAGGCAGGAGGCTCACCTGATGTTAAGTGATAGCGCCGCCCATGGACACTCAATGCCAGGGGGCTCGCGAGTGCGTTGCCGGCCTTTTAAGGATTGGTACGCTCTTTTCTTGAAGGACCCTAAGTCGAATTGGTTTGGAAATACTTCAGTGGGCAGCTGGTTCCACATAGTGGTGGTGCGCGGCAAAAACTGCCTTGAAAAACGCTCAGTTGTGGAACAGCAAAATATTGTAACTACTAACCAGCAGTAGCCTTTTCTATTGAAATTAACATGTGTTAACTCCATTATTTATAGAAGAAAACTCATATTGTATGTGATAGTTAGTTGGGTGTTTCTTACGCTATATTATTTTATCATGACGTGAAGAAAGAATTGTAAATAAATGCAAGTACTTAAAAATGTCTCCTTTATAAATGCCCTAATATTCTTTATTATTCTATATAAGATTATTACCTGGTGGACCATGCAAAAGGACTCCCTTTGGTGGCTGAGTCAGTCGACTGTCTGCAAATAACTCCCGCTTTTGAATAGGCAAAATGACAGTCTCACGCAGTTCCATGATTAAATTGTCAAGACCCGCAATATCCTTCCAGTTCACCTACAAGAACACAAAAATTCAAAGATGTTTTTTCTTTAACTGTCAATAATTTTTAATTAAAAAAGCCTAAGTTACTTACTTGATATCTTTGAATTGAAGTGTGTAAGAAACTTTTTAAACAGTTTAGTTGTATTTAAGTTTAACCATTATATTATTTTACATTTTGGACAAGACATAAAAGTCAAATAAAAAGTTGTATTCAAATTTTAATATAAACTTACGCTGATCTCATCTGGGACCACAAGTTGTGAAGCGATGATCATTTCATGGTCAGTCAACTTGTCAAACACCACTGAGTGCTTACTGCCAAGGCCAGCTCTGGAAGAGACCCTTAACATATGCACTATTTATTCTATTCTTACAATTTTTATTGCCTATATAAGCATATATCACACTTAATTTGATCATTTTCTACTTTTCAATTCCTATAACTTGTGCAATTTTGATTAAATTTTATATTTTTCAAGCTTGATACTTACATTATAGCCAGTCATTGGCATCAGAATTATGAACATTGTTGACTGTAAGTATTTATGGGTATAGTGTCCCTTAACAAGAAGTCTCTTACCCTTTTGATATAAAAAAGCCTTATGCATGTCTATGTATGTAGCAAACACAGCTATACTCAAGTTTCTAGTATGAAAGTGACAATGAGTTCCATGTATTACAGTGACTGTGTTAGATTTTAAGCTAGTAAGCTAGTTAATAATTGAAAGAACTAAGTGATACAAATGATAAAAATCTGGTGAATTGGTTAAGAAATGCTACAACATATTAATGAATTTTCTCAAAACAATAGAATTAGTTCAGAAACAATGCCCGTGTCTCCATAAATAGCACAATGAGAATTTGGCAAAAGACTGAAATAATAAGCTCAACTGGCAACTATGCATATAGTATGCATAGCAAAGAGGTTAGAATACTATCACACTATAATGCACATTGCACATATCCACATCATAGTTAGGGTTGAAAAATTGACAAATAATAAATCTTAATTATTTTTACAGCACATTGCATAATAATTAATATTTTATGAGATGAAAAATTGGAAAAAATAAAAATCAATACGTACTTGCGTAACTGTTCCCGCGCCTTTTCTTCTGCTTTCTTTCGACTTTTCGAAGTGGGATCTATCTGATTAACCAGCCACTTAATAGAGAAGTAAGTAACAGCAGATACGAATGCCACACGTATTGCCATTTGAAACACATCGTTCCGAGTAAATGCAGAACCCTCCACCATCATTCCTTTAGATATATTTCTCCGTTTTAACAAAAAGCCTCGATCCAATAAGCCAAACACTGGTTCTCTTGAATCTTAAATAGTCCACAAAGTAATTCAAAACAAAGCATTCATCATTCCGAATCGTCTGCACTCCGGGGATTTTATTTTTCATAGACAAATCAGCGTAAAGATCTTCGAAAAGTATATTATGATATATATTGTCAAGAGTCGAATTGTCAAGCGGAAGAGTGAAGACTGCTGCTTTGAGCTTTTAGCTATGGACTTGGATAGAGGAAATCTACTTCCGTCATGAGGATACGATCCGAGCAGTAAATCGTTTCCACTTTTGAAATGTTTCCAAAACAACCATTTAAATTTTAAACACAATATAATGTAGGTACAATATTACTGGACGTTCAATCAAAGACTTCAGTTTGTTTCCAAAATGTCAATAATGTACATTTGCATCATCATAATTATTATTTATTGGTATTTTCTATTAAACTACATGGAACTTATGCAGATGATGGAGTTTAAATTACCTTCCCTAGTAAATGTCAAAATTCTCACTATCTCTTTAAACTCCTATCGAATCCATGCTATCCAATCAGTGAATATTATATGTATTTAAGGCGTTATAATCGGATCCTGCTTAAAATTGTCTTATCCCTATTCCCTACTTTCAGCTTCATATTATGCCGGTATAGTGTATCGTCAAGGTGTTTTGATACTTGGTGTCTTTTTCAGCTATTAAGCGACTTTAAAAATCCCGAAAGAGGTGAATACAATTCAACACGTATATATTTTATATCAATAAAACAAGAAAGCATGTGGATTGTGGGCTGTATTGTAACCATTTAGTGGTAACAGCTTTTGTCAATCGTCATTCGTCAGACCTAAATGTTAAACACTCTATGTCAACTAATAACTATGACATAGATGTCACACTCACGTTTAGCACATGAGTTTGTGTCAAAACAAATAATAAAAATATGAACATAACCTTCGTTGTATTTGTTACCATTTCTCTATCTTTTAATTAATTGAAAAGTACTTATTATAATTGAAATTTTTTTAGTGCTTCATTTAAAGTTTTACTTTCGTTTTACATTTATGCAATAAATATTAAAGACCATGAAGAAATCTAACCAAAAGCCTCGTTCAAGTTTAGTTAATTCACGTAAAGCTATTCGAAAAGAGAAAAGACAACTTAAAAAAACACACCGTAAGGAACACTATTTGAAAAAAAAATCGGAGCCATCATTTTCACCTGGCAAATTTGTAAAGAGACCTGATGACTCCTCAGCTTCAGATGTTAAAGTTAAGGTAAAATAAACTTTATTTAATCCTACACGTGATACGTTATGCTGTCGCCCTAAAAACTCCAAATCACTCAAAACAGGAAGATATTCCAGTAATTCCAAATTACACATTCACTATGTAAATGAATATAAAAATAGTGGTGCTACATTTATTCATTTATATAGACATTGTTTCTCAGATTCCTGTATTTGTTATTTCATTTGCTGTCTTAACAGACAAGCAGGTGATACGCTTAGTATGCGTGACACACACTATCACTTTTAGGTCTAAATCATGATATTTTCCTTCAAACAAACTTCAACCGTGCATATAGATAATATGGTTTAGGGCATTTAGGTTCCCAGGCATGTTTTTAAAATATGAACTTAGGGTTATGGGTCTCCCGGTCAAGCCTCTAGGCCAACATTGCTATGTAAATGCTTGAAAGATGTCTTGACTTATATCCTAAGTTTATAGTTATTGTTTATATTATATTAATTTTTTATTGATTTTTGTTTAAGAAAAAAGTACCAAAACCAATGATCCATGATATCCTTGACAAAGAAAGAAAAAAGGAAATTAAAGAAACTGAAAAACTTAAGTCACAAATGGAGAATCAAAGGAAAAATATGTTTTTAAAGGCGAACGAAGATGAGGAAAAAGTTATTAAGAAGTTAGAAAAACAACTTGGTTTAAATAAATCTAAGAATAAAAATAATTATTTTGCTGATGATGGATTGGACTGTATCCTTTTATTTTCTTTCTGTAATTTGTGTTATCTATGCATGTACTATGTAATTTAATATTCATATAGATCAAAGTTCTCAGTTTAGGTCAATCAATACAATTAAAATCATACATAAAAAAACTTCTAAAACTTGGTTTTGGGTATTGAATTTTTCTAAATAAATATGAAAATATTTTAGTATTGGAGGCGGTCTGTGTCATCATCAATAGAACACACAAAAATGCTTTTATACCGAACATCACTATATTTTTACTTTTTGTTTATGATATTAAAATTTCCTTGACTTATTTAAAGATCTTTTAGAAATATGTGACAGGACAACATCAGAGCAAATTGTAGCTGCAGAAAAACATTTAGCAGATGTGGGGAATGATTCAGATTTTGAAGAAGATCTTGCTGTGGTGACTGGAAAGGATTTAAAAAAAGATACAAAGAAAAAAGATTTAAAAGTAGAATCAGATCATTCAGAAAGTGATTATATGGATATTAATGAGGAACTTGAACATTCTGACATAAACATCAAAGAGAAAAGTAACACAGATGAAGAAAGCCTAGAAACTAATGAAAATGATGAAGATATGGAGTCTGATGACCCTGAAGGTGATTTAAGTAATGACGATGATGAGGACACCGGTTTGAGTGATGAAGAAAGTGATAATGATACAGATAGAGAAAATACTGAATTAGCGGAAAAGAAATCAAACTCAGTGAAATGCAAAGAAAGAGTTGTATCTGAAGAAGATATTAGTAAAGTATTTAGTGACGATGAAGTTTCTCATTTGTCTGGTGATGGTTCAGAAATGGATAATAATATTGAAGAGGTTGATACTAACAGTAAAGAGAAACCAGATGTTTGGGAAGATATTTATGGACGGAAGAGAGATAAAGAGGGAAACATAATAAAGGTAACTAAAAGCATCAATGTGATTCTACAGTTTATCTTTTTAAAAGAGCTTCCTTGCTAAAAATTCATTTAAGAAGTTAAAGTAGAACATATGTATTGGGTTTTATTCTGAGAGTACTTGAGTCTGCACCTGTCTGTTTTATTTTTTGAAATTAGTTTTAACTTTTAACCAAATGTTAATGTTGCAATGGATTAGTGATAGGTTGCTATAAACATTCGTCACCTGTAATAATTTCTGTATATTTAAAAAAAATCAAGAAGAAAGATACACGGATTATTCGGTGCCATAAGTATTATATGTAAACATCTAGCAACATTTTTTTTTTGGAATATTTATTAAAAATTAATAAAAATATCTACTTAAATTAGCAAAATAACTATACAAAAATTAATAACTGGTAATTGTGTCAAATTTTTTATAGGCAACCTATACGTATAACTAATCAAATAAAATAAATAAAGATATTTCTCTTTATGTATGAAATGCATACCTAAAGAGAAATATATAATATGCACAACCTCAGAGTGAAGAGTTGCTCGCTCAATGCTCTAGGCCTACAATGCTTTACTAAATATAAGTACATAGTAATATCATTTTAATAACACAAATTTTCACATTTAATTTAGGAAGAAAAAGGAGTTTACATACCACCACATCTTAGAAACAAAGATTCAGGGTCAGAGAAGGACTTAGCGCAATTGAAGAGGCAAGTTAAAAGTAAGTGTGTGAGAACTGAGGGAGAAAGCAGTGTGAACACCAGTTAAAAAAATTAATTTAAAAGTATATATTAAATGGACAGAAATCGGAATCCATCTAGTTTTAGATTAATATCAAATAATGGAATTTGTCAATCAAATAAAATAAATAATTATTGGATGGTTCATATTTTAAACTTGTATTTAAAATATATATATATATCACATATTTTTTTAATTATTCTTCTAGAATTGATTGCTCACTTGCTATAGGGGCTTCCCGGGCTTGAATGACATTAGGTCACGCGGCCATTTTGAGTGACTGAACAGTACTATTTAGCGTTGTAGTCTGTGCTTTAGTACCAAAATCTTTATCTAATAATAATATCTATATTATAAATAAATTTTATCATCTTTACGGGGCTACAAGATTTGTATGGAAGTCTCTTTTAAATCTTGTAAAATATTTTTTTTAATTTAAACCTCACTTGTGTGTTGACGACTTATTATTTTGAAACTTGTACATTTCAGGTGTGTTAAACAAACTAGCTGGTACAAACCTACATTGGGCGAGTACGTCCATAGAGAATCTTTACCTCAGCAACAGCCGGAACTCAGTTAACACAGCGCTTACGCAGCTCTGGTTAGACGTCACTGTCAGTGTTGCCCTCACACCGGACAGAATGGTGGCAGAACATGCAGCTTTGGTATCAGTGTTGCATGCTAATGTTGGATCGGAAATTGGTAAGGGATAAGGATTTTATTATTAATTTTAATATTCGTTATTATTTGTTCTGTTTCTTTCAGATTTCTAATAGCAGTTTTTATTTTTTAACTTATAATGAATAGGGTAATATTCTCAAAAACGTTTAAAAATTCTGTCATGGATTACATTCGAAAGCGAAGTAGACATTAGAAGATGAAACAGATGTTAACATGAATGTATAATAAACGTTTCACAGAAGAAAAATAATACAACCGAAATACAAGAAAAAAAATAAAGATTTTTTTAAAATATATCTTTGTGTCGTTTCACATTAATTCGATTGTAATTGGCCAATCGAGCGTAATGACGTACCATGTTGCGTGTCAACTGTCAACGCGTAATGACGTACCATGTTGCGTGTCAACTGTCAACGCGTATTGACAGCTGTTGACCAAAGACAACAAATTTGTCCGACGTCTCGGCGAATAGAGAAAATATCTCAAAATTTTGTTTCCACCACACTATTATATTATTAATAAATAAATAAAAAAATAAAATCACAATCGAACGGACCGTTCTTTCATTATTTTTACACCAGGCCTGAAGTTCTAATGATCGATTATAAAACGAGACTGCTAAATCCGACTCATCGAAGTGTGAGATGTACCAGAACACGGCCAGTCAATAGAAATAACCTTGAATTTTAACTTCCAGGTGCGCATTTCTTAGAGGAGTTATCGAAGAAATTTGATTTTATGATGATGGACCCGCAGCCTGTTGAAGACAAGAGATTGGATAATTTAGTATCCTGTTTGGCGCATCTTTATAGTTTTAAGGTATTAGATTTTAAGAACCCTAATTATATGGAGAGAAATAATATTTTTTATTGTAATAAACTTGTATTGAACCGACTCTAACTAGATCAGTATAAAGCTACAGTGAGCAGTGTTCAGCGTGCGACTCTCATCCCTGAGGTCGTAGGTTTGATCCCCGGATTCGTTCGTACGGTGAAGGAAAACATCGTGAGGAAACCTTGTCTTAGACCCAAAAAGTCGACGGTGTGTGTCAGGTACAGGCTGATCACCTACTTGCCTATTAGATTAACAAATGATGATGATACAGATACAGATAAAACCCCTATAGGTTATTGAATTTTGGCTATAGATTATTTTTTTCCCCGGCCGCGATTGTATGTTTTAGTAAAGGAACACTTAAGGAAAGTTTGAATTGAAATCGGATTGATGTGAAATGGGTTTAATTCATTTCAATCAATATTAAATCTGCAAAGGGATTTTTGAAGTGCAACTTCTTTAGGCGCATGAGGGTAAAATTTTTACGGAACGTCACAAAGATATGCAGCGTTTTGTCGAAGAAAAGGGAGAGAGCGATTGAGAGAGAGTGAGAAAGGGCGAACGTAGCATGAAGCAACACGCTATTGGTTGTGTAAACAGTGTGAATATAGATATACAAATACATGGAGTGATCATATGCTGGTACATGATCATCTATTGAGGCTTTTACCTTAGTAATAATGAATTAACAAAGAAGTTTCACTTCTAACATATTGTGTACTTTGTACGCACGCACTTTTTTTAGATATACCACGCGAGTCTTCTCTACGATATTCTCGCACGTTTAGTAGAAGATTTGAGTGAGAAGAACATAGATTGTGTTCTCACTGCACTTAGATGTGTGGGCGGGGTTTTGAGGAAGGAGGAGCCTTTGGCTTTGAAGAACTTCATACAAGACACGCAAGGGAAGGTGGCTCGGATGAATGAGAAGGCTAGTACTGGGTAAGACATCAGAAATATAGTTGGATATTTTTTGTGGGCAATTTTGTAATTAATTACAATAAACTTGAAAAAAAAATGGTTGTCTGTGAAGTCGCTACGATACGAGGACGATAGTTTAACGTAACAACGTCATAACAAAACATTGATGAAATGATTGCATAGTTTTATGAATTTGTTGAATCATTATATTGAATTATCACTATTTGGTATGGATACAAAGAAGGAGGAAAATTATATCTACAATTTAATTGATAAATTTACTTTTATTTGCACTCATTCATTCTAATATGATTATGAGCGGACAATGAGTTATGCTTTTTCGTGCGTGCAACCGGCGTTCATCGATTAATTAGACGTTGATACGGCAATTTTTTTAAATGTTTTCTTAAGACATCAGAAACCATTTGAAGACAATTTTGTATAAAAAATAATTAAAATTGTGCTGAAAATTTGTTAAATAAAGTATTTTGTATCATAAATAATTTTAATTAGGCGATTTGTTTTAAATTTCAAAATGGTATTAAAATAATTTAAGAAAAATCTGGGTAAAGCGTTTTGTATTAAAAATATCAAAATATAAATGATTCGTATATTATATATGTATAATGTACACTTATAAACGTCAGAAAAACGAACGAAAAAAAATCCATGGTTTTCTTTCTCTATTCGCTTCCTGCTGTCTTCTATCTACCTTTTTTTGGGGCGCCCTCTTCTCCTTCCCTTTGGTCCTTAATCCTTTTCATATACTTAACGGATAACGTCATAGGACTGAATGAATGAAAATAATATTAATAAAAACATTTCCATTTCAGGTCAAGAATAAAGTTTCTTTTGGAAGTGTTGCTAGCTGTGAAAAATAATAATTTGACGAAGATACCGAACTACGATCCGTCATACGTCGAGCATTTGAAGAAAATGTGCAGAGCGATTGTTCGGAAGGGAAATTACGCCTCGCCTCTTAATATACGGTTGGAGGATTTATTGAGAGGTATTTTTTTTAATCTGTTCACTGAAAATGGAACATTACGATCTACTCTAACTTAAGACTAATAAGTAATTTTAGTCATATTCAAGTTCGTTCAAGTATTACGTAACGCAATTTTTGGGGAGATTCTTGGGGACCCCCCCCCCATGTAACGCGCCGTAACGTCTGTACCAAATAGAAAAACGTTTCCAGTGACTCTTTATACCTAATAGTTACCATTTGTTATGTTAAGTACCGGAAAGTCGAAAATAATATTAATGATAACGCGTAATTCAATCTCTGACATTTTTACTAATAAGATACAATATATTAATTACAATAAATTAATTCACGAATGAAGTAACTATCTTTTCCAGAGATAGATAATCCACTGATAAATTATAATTTTTTATAGTATATGTTTAATATTAACTATATTTAATTGATTATTTTTTGAGGACTCGAAAACGTTGCGACTACCCTCCAATCACTCCGGAAGTTTTAGGATGGCCCACTCGTAACTGCCCATTTAACTATTTCACTGCTTAGTATTTATTATATAATCCATTTTATATTTTACGACTTATTTTAGTTTACTTTACTGCTAAGTTTTAACTGCCGAACTTGTTAATGAATATGCATTTTGTAATTCCCTACTTACCAAAACTACTATATACAACTGCCGCGTTAAATCAGTGGCTCAGGCGGCAAAGAACATTACTTTACACTTGTTGAAGTGAAAACTTCTTTAGCTGCGTTGTACACTTTTTTGGAATGGGTAAAAACTTCTAAACTCGCGTCAGGACACGTGACCTGATCGAAAATTCGTAAGACGGATGGAGAGTAGACAGCTGGCGCGGCGTATTTAATGTAATATAAATTATCATGTTTGTGTATGATAGCACAATAAATAAATATTGTATTCTAATACATAAATGATAGTACTTTTATACTGATAATTTAAGCATTTTGTTCAAAATTATTTCATAACCATTCCAAAATATCAAAAATGCACAACGTTAATATTCAAGTTTTCACTTCTGCCGGCACTCCCGGAGTGCAAACCGTCGTTTTTTTTATTCATCCAATACATTAACTAATATTTCCAGCTCATGAGCGTGGTAAGTGGTGGGTAGTGGGTTCGGCGTGGGAGGGAAATCGTCCCAGAGAAGAAGTAAAGACAGTGACAAACTTCGATCAGAAGTTATTGAAACTTGCCCGGGAGCAACGGATGAATACCGATGTTAGGAGGAGCATATTTTGTGTTATAATGTCAGCTCAGGTGAGAAAACTTTTAACAAAACATACATTTATTAAATAATTTTTGTTTTTATTGTTTAAACATAATTAGACGGAAATACCATTAGTATAATATTTGCGGAAACTGGTGTGGCACTTATGCGATGATATAATTATTATTTGTTATTTTTTTCATATTAAGTATAAAGAGTGTCGAACTAAAAAGACGTAGTGAGTCTTTGTGTGCCCATTTAACACATAAAAAGTGCGTGCGTACAAAGTACACATGTCAGAAGTGAAACTTCTTTGGCAAACTAATTTTTAACTCTTGTTCATATTTATACAAATCTATAGCTTTAGATTTTCGAGACTTAGAGGGAGGGAAAAAAGTGTCGAAAATAAATACAATGTCATTAAAATATTAAGTGTCGAAATTTAAAAATTTTTTTTTATTTATTTCTTCTATAATAAAAACACGTGACATTTTAATTTACAATTCGTCATTTGAGATTTCAATAAATTATTTTGCAGAATTCATACATTCTCTTTACGAAATTTTAATTTTAAAATATAATTTCTATAAGGTAATTCGCCCTTCTCACTCTCTGAATCGCTCTTTCTCTTATCTCCCTTTTCTTCGACAAAAACGCTGCACATCTTCGTGACGTTTACCCTCATGCGCCTAAAGAAGTTTCACTTCCAAAAACATCGTGAGGAAAGTGGCCTTAGAACCAAAAAGTTAACGGCGTGTATGCACAGGAGGCTGATCACTTACTTGCCTATTAGATAAATTATCACGAAATAGTAGCGCCAAAGTTTTTATTATTAACTCTAAAACTATTGTAGATTGTAATTTTAAAATAATATTTTTTTTTCACTTATTAATAATAATAGCCTTTAAATTCAAATACTTTTACATTTAAACACGTTTGTATTTCAATCTTCTTTTAGGTATCTGTGTGTCCTTTTTACACGCTTTATATTAGCTTCACCTGTATGTATGTATGTATATAACCGACTCCTTCGGACTCGATTTTGACCCACATTAAACGGACAGATTTAATTCAAACTTTGTACACTCATAAAGAATCAGCGACAATATAATAATTTCATAGGTTTATCTCGAAAAAACAATGAAATTTTTTTTAAGTCCACAAAGCAATACGATTAAATTGAGACAACACGTATTGCTGCTAGGACTAAAAAGTGGAAAATAAATATAGTTTAAAAAAAACTATAAAACACGCTTTTAAAGCACATCTCTGTGCCATATTTTTCGTCTATCGAGCAACCCTCGCTTTTTCACAATAAAACCAGTATTTTTTGTTCATTACCATTTTCAGCCTAAATTAGGAATTATTTTTTACTTTATTTATAGTTTGTGTGCTAAACTATATTTATTTAGCCTCCAAATCCCGCCAATGCCACTCTCAACCACCTGTTTCTTTAATTTGGTCTATCCATCTTCTTAGTTGTCTTCCTTATTATGCGTTTATACCTTGGGCACCAGTTTAGTACTTTTTTGCTCCACTTGCCATGTGCGATCTTGTAACATCTGTTACCTTATTATTTACAGCTGTGTTTATTTTGTCTATTCTACACAAAGATTTTTTACGTTTGGGCTCTTTGAAGTTTTTATCAATATTTAAAAAATCTACAGGATTACATGGACGCATTTGAGAAACTCCAACATTTAGGATTGAAAGGACAGCAGGAAAGGGAAATTGTTCACGTCCTTCTGGCTTGTTGTCTTCAAGAGAAAAAATATAACCCATATTATGCGGTTTTGGGACAGAAATTGTGCGATACGGATCGGAAATATCAGGTTAGATACGTGATTTTTTTTTTGATTTTACTTTTTGTGATTATTGTCCAACGTAATTGCATTAAGCGTGCCTTCTGAGGTCATAGGTTCAATCCAATGAACTTTCATTCTATGTGCGCATTTATCATTCGAACGGTGAAGGAATCGTGAGGAAACCAACTTGCCTTAGACCCGTAAAGTCGACGGCGTGTGTCAGGCACAGGAGGCTGATCACCTACCTATTAGATTGACAATTGATCATGAAACAGATACAGAAATCTGAGGCCCAGACCTAAAAAAGTTGTAGCGTCACAGATTTATTTTTAATTGCATATTGAACTGGTGAGGTTTTGTATTTTGTACTTAAAATTTTCCCAAGTTTATTTAGCATATTTTATTTTAGTTATCAATACAATACTCAGTGTGGGATAAAATAAAGGAATTGGATTCGTTGTCGAAGCAGAGTATGGGCAATTTGGCGCAGTTTTTAATTCATCTCATTATGGAGAAGGGGTTGGCCCTTTCTGTCCTTAAGGTAAAGAAAATTAAAACATTAATTTGATGACTAACATTTTTAAATCTTTTTTTTTGAGATTTAAACTGGAATTGTGCTCGTTTTTTGTTTAATAAAAACATTGTCATCACAAAAAACATATAAAATGGCGAAAGCGCCGAATTTGATATTTTTCTCAAAAGTTACGTGTTTAGCGAAACACATTTTTTGTTTAATTAGTTTAATATTATGACTAGTTTTTCTTAAAAAATATTTTTATACATTACTTATATTCCTGTAATCTAGTCACCCACAAGTGGTCCTAGTGTGGGGACTAGCGTTAGATCAAGTTTGTCATAACCATATTTTGTTATTAATTATCTGATCGTATCGGTTCTTATGAATTTTTTTATGCATATTCAGTAAGTCTGAGCATCAGCTACTATCTATCTTTCAAACCCCTAAGAAGTGATAAGGGGTGTCCACCCCAAATTTGTTTTTATATTTTATGATACAGCATACAAAAATACACACAACCCCTAATTTTCACCCCTTTACGATCAACCCCTATTTTTTATTATTGTTGATAGTTATTTTTATTGAACTAAAAAAAATTTTCTTAGAAATAATATACATGGCAAAACAAACGTTTGCCGGGTCAGCTACTAATATATATATATATAATATATAACAACAAAATATATATTGAACCGATTTTGATGACACTTGGACTGCTTATTAGTTTGAACTATACCTTATTTAAATCAAAATGTGTTTGGAAGCCTTAACATATACTCAAATGTTATCCTACAGGACATGTCTAACGGAAGACTTCCTTTTTTGAAGTCGATTTAACTTTTTTCAGATCATCGAGTTCTCAGACCTAAACAAGCAAATTGTGAAATTTATGCGTCAAATACTTTTAGCCATAATAATGAATGCGGATCTCCAAGCTTCATTGGAAACCTTCCACAGAATAGCAAAATCGCCAAAGTTGCATATGTTCAGGGAAAGCTTACGTTTGTTTATACAACATTTTTTAATTAAAAATGCTGGGAAAAAGAGTGGGATTTTAAGCGACGATGAAATGGCAACACTGAGGGAGAGGAGCGTTGAAGTTGAGAAAATATTGACGGCGTATGAGAATAAATTGAGATTGTAATTTCTGGATTTTTATTTCATATATTAAATGTTTAATGGAACTGTTTAATGGAAAATATAACTTTGAGACTATTTTTGTCTAGAACTTAAAAAATAAAGTTCTCAATCAACATAAGCAAGTATATGTATTTTCCAATCCAATTTTTTTACGCTGGAAATAAAACCTAGGCGTCTGGTTAATAGTCCTTGTTTAAAACTTTAAAGGAGGTTTGGTAATATGTTCTAACAAAGGGTAACATTCAGAAAACCAGCGCTATCAGTCTCGTACGTCAAAATGCATTGAGTTTTGACATACGGAAGTCAATTTGTGATCTCTATGATACAGATTAGAAATTTATATAGATACATAACTATTAATAATATATTGAAATAAATGTTATATATACATTGAAAGAAATAACTAACCTTAACATATAATAACTAAAATATATTATTAAAAGGAGTACCTTTAGGCAATGTTCCGAAGATACTGGCAGCGTTCCCCCTTTGAATAGCTAGACTAATTCTTTGTCCAAGGTCAGGCCAGATCATCGTTCTCCTGTGATGTCGACTAACCTTTTTGACATATCTTTATATAGATTATATATGATTATTTATTTATTTTAAAAAGGCACACTAACGAAACACATACAAACATCAATACACGACATACAAAAACATAATACATTAAAGTGCATCAGTGACAAGTGCTCAACATTTAAAGGGAAACATTACATTGATTAAAGAAAAAGAAATTATACAACAAAAATAAAAGACAATAAACTAGATTAAGAAATACAAATATGCAATTTAATATATTTCTACTTTGCAATTATTATTGGTGACGGATAAAAAGTGACTGCAGCATCTTACGTCTATATATAGGCAGCGGCACGTAAGTCTAGCGCTGGCCGATACGTGGAGGGGATTGCTGCGCATGTGTACTGTCGCGCGGGGGACGGAATGCGACTGGAGAGCCAATCGACGCTACGCGCGCCCGCTCTTCATTCCTCTAGCCCCCCTCAGGTACCTTATTTTTTACTTCTGCGCAATAACGGTCAGCGCTAGAGTTTCGTGCCGCTACTTGTACATGGAGACTGTCATAAAATGGATATGCTTCGCATTTACCTTCGTTTATTGCAGATAGATCTGTTTCGAGAAGCATTACAACCGACGTTGGTCCCCGAATCTAAAAAAGGACTGACATGTTTCTTGTGTTTCTCTTCAAGAGGAAATTCACTGTTATTAATATGTTAATGTCCACTCAAATACTTTTATTAAAACATACTCTAGCCAAAGATATTTTTGTCTTATCACAGCTAAGAATGCTTATCTAAAACCAAGTTTAAATATGCTATAAATATCATTTATAAACCTGTCCATTTTAATCTGCTGTCTAGCAATATCTACAGCTTGATATTCTTCGTAAAACACTAGCATTGGGGTTGAGTGACCGTTCGTTCTGTTATTATCCTTTGGTCTATCTGTTTCTTTCATTATTTTTCATGTATTAATTTTTAACCAGAACAGATATTAATCTGATGAAATCGTAACAATGGCGATTTTTTTACCCTCCTTTGAAGCCTTCCTTTATAAATGATGATGACCCAATCCCGCTCCTGTCCAGCGTGGTGTATGAGCCATTGGAAGCCAACATTTGTAGTGGCTAATCAAGTACCTAAAATCTAAATATAAATTACATCTTGACCAAAACAAATACGAATTAAATATGTCGTCATTGAAAGGTGAAACATTAAGCCTTAATAAAAAAAGCGGTAAAATCCTTAGTTTAAAATGTCTTAAAAATATTTACTTTGTAACTACATTATGCGAGTATAGACACGTGTTTTTTGGATGGATTCTCGCTGTTGGCCAGAGTGGCGTAGCTACCTAGGGGCTAGGCGGGGCAGTGCCCCGGGGCCCTCGAGCTCAGGGGGCCCTCGAATCCTTACCAGAAATCTCGATCGTTCTGAACTTTTGGAAATTTCTCCAATTTTCAAAATAAATATAACAGATTGCAACCCCACTTTAATCATGACAACTCAGTTGAGAGAAATTCAAAAGTTATAGGCATAACTTTCCCTAGGCAGGGAATTCCCCTAAATTTTTTCTGTAGGTTGGCAGTGTTGTCAATTTGACGGATAGTGTATATGTGCGTTTTATTGTGAATTCGAGTTAAGATTTTTTTTGAGAACGGGTAAAAAATTAATGTTGTATGAGGAGTAAGTAAGATAATGTTAATAAGCTTTTTTGTACTGGTCAATATAATGATTCAATTTTATTTTATTTAACCACTCATATTGATGTCCGTTAAAGTCAATAAATCGTGTCAAATCTAAAGATTTCGGCTACAGCTCATTGTATAACGCGAATTAGATAACAATTGAAAACAAAACCGCATCAAGCCTGGATTTAAACGAAGTCATTGATACTTACAAAGCAACCGTGAAAGTGCATCACGAGGAAACGGATGAGATTGGTATTTACCGTGGTGTTCGTCAAGGTTGTATATTATCTCCGTTGCTATTCAATGTATATTCCGAAGCAACTATATCAGAGGCCATTGAGGGGTTAGAGGTTGGTGTGAAAGTTAACGGAAAGATAATCAACAACATTCGCTATGCAGACGACACTGTTTTAATAGCCTCGTCAATGGATGATTTACAAATGCTTGTTAATAAAGTTCATGAAACTAGCGAAAGAGACGGTCTGACTATTAATGCAGTAAAGACGAAGGTGATGGTCATTTCCCGAAACGATACTTTAGTTCCTAATTTATCCGTAGCTGGTAGAACGTTGGAACGGGTGCGGCAATACAAGTATTTGGGAACTTGGGTTACAAACGAGTGGAATCCTGATCAGGAAATTAGGTCTCGAATCGAAATTGCCCGAGAATCTTTCAACAAAATGAGGAAAGTTTTGTGCTGCCGTCACATGACCATTAAACTCCGAGTCCGACTTCTCCTTTGTTACATATGGCCAATTGTTCTGTACGGCTGTGAAGCTTGGACAATTAAAGAAGATACCCGCCGGCGCTTAGAAGCATTTGAGATGTGGTGCTATCGTCGCATGCTTCGAATAAGCTGGATCCAGAAGGTCTCTAACGAGAAGGTTCTGAAACGAGTTGGAATGTCGAAAAAACTTTTGCAGAACATTAAACAACGGAAAGTTGCGTACCTGGGCCACGTGTTGCGCCATGACCGCTACCACCTCCTTCAATTAATTATAATGGGTAAAATCCAGGGTAAACGGCGTGTTGGTAGAAGGAAGAAATCATGGCTCCGCAACGTTAGAGAATGGACAGGTATTGCAACTGCAGAAGAGTTGCTGCATCTGGCACAGGACAAGACACGCTTCAAGATACTGACGGCCAACCTCCAGTAATGGAGAGGCACTAAAAGAAGAAGATTGATACTTTTGCGAAATCGAAAGCTAGGAAAAAATTGTAAATATAATTTTGTTATTTAGTCAGTTGGTAGGCCTGACCTTTATATAATAAAACCTTGAATCTTTTCTACCTACACTAAGTATTAATTGTAATGTATGATGTTACTGTTTAATGTTTTTATTACCTGTCCTTCACAAAAAAGAGCTTAAGTAGCTTAGCATTTTTAAAGTATATGTAAATTTCATATTTTGATCAGTTTACATAGCAGTGGGGCCCCATTTTTTTATTTGCCCCAGGGCCCTTGGTCACCTAGCTACGCCACTGGTTGGCCTTAGTGGGCTTTACAGCTAAGCATGGGCTATTTTGGCGAGTGTAGCTCGGCCGGAATGGGCTTTTTCCCGCGACTAGAGTGGCGGAAAGTTTCATGCCAGTTCTTCTTGCCCGGTCTACGACCTTGACTTGCGAACTGGTATTAATGTAAATTTACAATTAATTATACTTCTTTTCTGATGTTCAAAAGTGTACTTGTTTACCTATATGAATAAAGTTATTTTGAGTTAAGCGCAAGGGCGTCTTCTGCGAGGCTGAGACCTCGGCTTGGGCCGTCGCGAGGTGGTCAACCGCCTGAAGAGCAGGACGGAACCTCACTGGAGTGAGCGAAGTACGAAGTAAAGGTCCTCGCCTTCCCTGGTAAAGGCGGTTTTTACCCTAAACTGATCGTAGACACGTTTAAATCCAGTTCTAAATTTATAGTCTAACTTGCGTGGCAACAAGCTGTCTACTTGGATTTGATAAGATTCTTTATCATGTGATAATAGATTTAAAATACACATTATACAGTGATAAGAATAGCATATTTGCTGAGTGGGTGCGGTTATCATAGTGCAAATAAACTAGATATGTATGTTTATTTTAGAGTAGGTATACCTAATCGACAGTGGCGTAGCGTGCCTTGTCGGGGCCCCGTATAAAAAAATTTTTGGAGGCCCTTATATGGAGGTAAAGATTTTTCACAAAAGAAAAAAAATATTGTGAGAAGTAATATTTATTTATCACATAATTTACCCATTTTACAAATAAAAATCGAATTTTAAATATTCACTCTCCTTGCCTTTTTATCGGCAAACTGATTTATTAAATCATTTATGGCTAATGATGATTTTAGTTTTTCTAAAGTTTCTGCCTCTATGGACAATAGTGAGATGTCTGACAGCCGTTCTTGTCCCATCGAAGTTCTTAAGTAATTTTTTATTAGTTTTAATTTTGAAAAACTTCTTTCTGCCGTTGCGGTTGTAACTGGAAGGGTCAAGAATAAAAACCATGCTGTGATTACCTCGGGAAAACTGGATGCAAGACTATTGAATTTTACTAGCAATAATTCAATGAGTTCTTTAATGGAATAAATTTTTGTAATTTCAGAATTTAAGCATGTTTTTAGAGCCTTTAATTGGTCACAAAGATTAAGTGAGATGTCTTTACTGTATTTAGCAGACAGTTTTCCGGAAGCGTTTAATATCTCTTCGCTTCAAGAAGATAGGAGTTTCTCCGGTTGTAATATTTCGAATATACTACTCAGGTTGCAAAGGCTCTGAAATCTTTCTTTAGTTTGAGAAATTAATATATCTAAACAGCAA